AGCCTCACTGGCCACGCGGCTGGCCCCCAGCCCACCCTGGGGTGCTCGCAGCCCCTGTGCAGACCTCCAGAGTGGCACCCTCACACCTGCCTTTGCCACCCACTCTAGCTGACAGATGACCTTCAGACTGCAGAAAATAGCTCTCCCTTTCCTCTCCTCCCCGTGAGTGGGGAGAAGCACATCGAGGAGCAGGTACCAGCCCAGCTGTGAGAGCCGAGGGCATGCCTGAAAGCTCCCGGGGTCCCACGCAGGGCACTGGTACTGCACTCCTGGGCACCAGAAGAACCTTTCGGGGGGCACAGGGATGATTGGTCCAGGCAGGGGAGCCGCCCCGCTTCCCACCCCATCACACCAGGGCCCTGTCCCACTCGTATGATACAGTACAGCCAAGATGCAATCCAACCAGCAAAGCACTGTCCCTTCCCAGTCCACAGCCACCAAAGGGACCCAGACATCCCTACAGAGCTTTCCCTGGGCACTCTGACAACCATGGCACGGGGACACAGCTCTTCCCGCAGCTGCAAGCTGCTCCTCAGCTCCACTGACACCTTAACTGGGATACACTGCCCTCAGCTTCAGAGTCATGCCTCTCTGCAGCCGCCTCAGATGCTGATTTATTCTTTCACACATGCCCGTGCTAACAGCTCCCCAGGCACGTCGCAGCCCCAGCCAAGCCCGAGAGCCTGCATCCTGGGCTTCGGGCCCTGCTGCAGTGCTGCATCGCAAGCACTGCAGGGAAGGAGTTATTCAACTTCACAAAGAAGCACTTTCCATTTTGCTTAGCTCACGTCAGGGAGTGGTTCCCACCAGACGGAGGGCTCCGGCAGCTGTCAGGCTCAAAGACCAGCCCTGGGGATGCTACGGAGGCGACTCCACAGCCGGGAGTGGCCTGGGGGAGTCATGCTGCTCCCTGGAGTAAGACCTAGCAGAGGGCTGCCTGGCTCTGCAGGCATGCCTGAGCAGCCACGGTACTGCAAGGGGACAGTTACTTATGGGAAAGACGATTCCTCGCACCTTGTAACACTTTTAATCCTGTCTGCCACAGGTATAACATCATGGACGTAATCTGAATCGAATGTGGGGGGTAAACAGCAGCTGATCTTGTTCCTGTCATGCTGTGGTCTCAGGAACACACAAGTGATATGTTACCACTAAATAAAGCACAGAGGAAAACACGGTGGGAGGCTGAGATTACTGACGGAACCTGCCACACCAGCTGCCACCGCTACTTTTCCATACACCCAAAGCTGCTGCATTTTCACCACCAGAACCCCAACCTTCAGTGCCCAGGGCGAGCCCCTCCGGGGGCTGCAGGCTCCCTCCCACGCCTGTAAGCACAGCCTTTCCCCAAGGGACAGGGAAGGGGACGGGGGAGCAGCCACTCTGCTGCTGTCAGAGCCTTGGCTGCCTGCTCTCTGCTCTCGCGGCGGGGGGAGCCCCCGGGCAAGCTGGCAGACCCGCTTTTCCAGCAGCTCAACAGGAACCCGGTCTGGGGACCACTGCCCTAACGGAAGGCACACGGGATTCACCGGAAAAACCACAGGACACCTCCACCGTCTGTGAGAAAGCTGCTCCATAAAAACTTCCACAGCCCATAAAAAATCAACGTGACCCCCCCCAGCACAAGACAGCACACCGTGCCCGGCAGGCTGGCCAGGCTCCCCTCCACCGAGGTTAGGAGGGGGGAGCTCCCAGACCAGCCTGAGCCCAGGCACAGTGTTCTCTGGGACAGGAGAACGACGGAAGAAGCTGTGCTGTGGCTACCCCACACAGCCAGGAGCCCCCTGCCCCTGCCTGAGAGCACAGCATCCCTGAATCACACAGACAGACCTGCCCTGAAACCCCCCCTTCCACCTCCCCTCCAGGCTCCCAACCCACCTGAGTGACCTGTGGGACAAGGTTCCCGCCGACACACGCTGGACCCCAGACCCCCAAGTGCCCTGCTCTGCAGCATCTCCAAATCTCTCCTGCCACCCACCCCACTGCCAGCCCCATGCCAAGGCAGCTGGCGCTGCATCTGTCTGAGGAGGTGCCTTCAGCCAGGGAGCAGCACCCGCATCCTGCAGGGAGTCAGGTACTTACACGTCTTTTCCTGTCTCCAGCTCACTGAAAACAAACTTAAGAACTATGCCCTCTAAAACACCTCTGAAGGGAGCTTCCCAACAGCAAGTGCTGCAAAGGCAGCCCTCCGTTTCAGGCTCTCTGTGCCCACAACACAAGGATAACCCACACGAGCAGAGATGTAGCTGAGGCATGCAGCGGGGAGGGGACGGCTGCAAACTCCTTCCTTCACCCTGAAGCCGGAGGACCTCGGGCATCCCCGGACACAGGTCTGGGCATCATGCTCCAAGCGGTGGGTTCATCCCCGCGCTGGGGAGAAGCGCATGCAAATGCTTGTTTGACAAAAGGAACTGTAGAAAGAAGGACCTGTCGGCGGGCGAGCTGGCGGCTGCGCTGAAGCAGAGCATTGCTTCCCAGGGCTATGTCCCCGGCTGGCGTGAGCAGGCAGGTGCAGCGGTCCCCGCTCGCAGCGCAGCAGAGCGGAGAGGGGCCAAGCGGGATGCAGCCG